CGCGGTGATGGTATATCATTGTATTTCAGCCATTAAAATAAACATTTTTTTTCACATTAATGTTGACAAACAAATTTTTATCACATTTTTGTAATGTTGTATTGCGTGTTTCACTTTGTTTTTGCTTCTTTTAGCTGTTTTACGTAACTGATTTGGCCTGTTCAAAGGATTGAATTATTTATTTAGATCATATGGTTCATCTAAATTTAAGAAAATTTATATAAAAAAAATTAAAATTAAAATTTTAAATTCGTTTAAATTTTTAATCGAATAATAATATATAATTTAATTATTATAATTTTATAAATATAAATATAAATATTTTTATTTTAATATTTTATTGTTTAAATTTTTTAAAATTTTTATTATATAAATTAAATTTAATGAGTATACTTAAATTATTAATTATCAAATATATAATGAAAAAATATTTGGCTCCCTAAATGGAAGCTTACCCTAAAATGAAAAAGATTTAAATAAAATTATTTAAGTAAAATTAAAAAAAAATTATTAAAAATAATTAAATTAAAATGAATAAATTCAAAGATTTCATTATATAGATTAAGTATGAAAATTTTAAAAAAATTTAATAAATTTTGATATATATTTTTTAAATAACAATATTAACAAATTTTTATTATTAAATAAATATTAATTAAATTTAAATTATAAATAAAATTTTTATATATTATTTATTTTCATATTAAAGTTTATTTATTTATTAATTTATATTTTTATGAAAATATTTTTTTAATTTCATAAATTTCATATAAATTTTATTTGTAGAACTTCGCCTTTATTGTAATGTGGAAGAAAACCACTGAATCATAACTCCATAAAAATCCAAATCAACGGTAAAGATATAAGCGAAAAGAGCTTTCGATAAATCGTCCATAAATATATTTGATTTTTATTTATATATTCGTTTGTTAAACGAATCAAATATAAATAATTATCTATTCGTTCATTTATATTCATAAATAAATTTATTTAAAATTCGTTCATTTATTTGATAATAATAATAAGTTAATAACAATATTACAAAAAATTTAATGAAGATTATTGAGGATATTTTTGATAAAATTTTTTTTTAATAATTTATACAAAAATTTTATTGAAAGAATTATTGAAGATATTTTTGGATAAAAATATCTTTAATAATTTTTTTCAAAATTTTTTGTATAAATTATTAAAAATATTTTTAAATAAAAATAAATTAAATATAAACAAACATAAATATTTTATTATCTAAATGAATCGAACTCAAATATAATTAATAAATTTTTTATTAAATACGAATTGAATTCAAATAACTCTAATAATAAATGAATAAATTAATGTGCATTATTTTATGTTCAATTCATTTATAACTTTAATCTTAATCAACAGTGGCCACAAAACATGTTTTAGTTGGTGGCAACACGTTGCACAAACCATAACCACAACAATCCATGGTGGGAGAGACAGCTGACTGACTCACTGGACTGACCCTACCAATTGCATTGTTGTAAGCACCAAAATTGTTGATTTTGATACCCAAAATCTCAATGCCTTATCTTCAACTCAAGCCATCTTTCTTGGATTCTCCACCATTCACTTCTGCTATCTCCCTTACTGTATGGTCACACAGATCCTAGCTTGGTTGCTTGTGTTTCTCACATCACCTGTATTTTCCTCCACCGTTTCTCTCTTCCTCATTTTCCCCTTTTGTGTTATATTTTCCCAGATTTTTTCTCTTTCCTTTTTCTTTTCCTCCTTTCTTTTCTCAAGACATAGTCTTCGTTCTTAAGTTTTTCTCTTTGAAAGTTCTGGTAATAAAAGAAGAAGCTTTTTTAAGGTATACCCAGATCTTGTTATCTTCTTGGCTTCACTTTTTCATTATTTTTACAAGTTTTTGAACTATGGGTATTTCGTGAATTTCAGAAACAAACGGAGATCTTGGTTAAAAACGAGTAGCAGTGAGAAATACTGAAACTGAGTTGAACAGAGTTCGAAGGTTAATATAAAGATGAAAATCCAGTGTATGTTTGTGGAAAAAGCCCAGCAACCAGTGATATGTTGTGCAGACGAGGCCTGCACTTTTGCTGCTAAATGTGATGTGAGTTCATGGCAGCTAACAAGGCTTGCAATGTATAAGGCACAAAGGATTCTTCTTCAGTGCCTTTCAAAACAAGCTTCCTCCTTGTGATATATGTCAGGTACGCTTCATCTTACTTACCTCCAATGAAACTTCAGCTTTTTTTTCGTTAGTTTCTATTTTGTCTATATTTTTATAGACGTCAGTGCTTTTTTTTTTTTTTTTATGTTGTTTCTCATGGTTTCTGTAATTGAGTCTGAATGATTTGTTATGTAATTTTTCTTGGTTGTTCATGTTATTCTCCAAAAAGCCAATAATACTCTTGAAATGCAACTTTATGATTCTTCAACAGAATAACTCATTATTCCAAAGCATTGATTTCAATTCCGAATCTTCTGGCAATAAAATGCTTCATGTGAGAATATAGATTAAAGAAAGAAAAACTATGGAATGGCCTGTAACTTCAGCAGTGGGGTGCAAGTGATGCCTGCTTGTAATTTCAATTGTTTGTCAACTGCTCCGATGACATCACTAGTATATCAGCTTGATGAAATGTCTAAATCTTGAAATGTTCTATTGAATCAGTTTGTGCAGTGGATCTTAGGGTAACAAGGATATTAATTTTATTAGCTGGTTTGGTTGTTGGAATGCAAGAAAGAGGAGTGAGAGAAGTTGAATAGAGCATTCATGCATGAGAGCGAAGACAGGTCAAACAAGAAGCATATTTTCCCATCCTTAGTTGTTAGACTGAATATGAAATTTGACAAATAGTTTAGAAAGTATATATTCAAAGTGTTTGCAACCCTTCTGATTGATTGAAAGGCTATTAGCAAGTGTCTAGGGTTCATCTGGCCAAAGATGCTGAGCCTAGGAGGATAAACGTAAATATGGTCTCAAGCTTCAACACTTTCTCATTAAGATTTTAACCACTGCTCTAGGTAGTCTAATGCTTTCACCATTTTTGAATATGGAATCATGCTTGATTCCATCTTGTTACTCACTCCTTGCTTAATAATTAAGATAACTCCATGGTTTTAGACTTCAGATTTATAGAAATAGTAAAAGCAAACTCTTTGTAATCAGGTTACTATGATTGTTCAAATGTTGTTCATTATCTTAATCGCAAAAGTTTTCTGAATGTTCAGAGGCTCTGATCCTCTTCTCACTCCACGTACAGGAAAAAACAGCTTTCATTTTTTGTGTTGAAGATAGAGCCCTTTTTTGCAAGGATTGTGATGAACCTATTCATTCAGTTGGCAGCCTTTCTGCAAATCATCAAAGGTTCCTAGCCACAGGAATCCGTGTTGCCTTAAGTTCTAGTTGCAATAAGAATACTGAAAAGAATGGGTTGGAGCCGCCCAACAAGAGTGCACCTCAGACCGCAATGAAAATGCCAGCACAGCAACAGTCAAGCTTTGCATCTTCATGGGCTGTTGATGATCTGTTGCAGTTTTCGGATATTGGATCTCCTGACAAGGTGAGAAAGATATAATGATTAAAGATGTTTGTTTATTATCTTTTGCTTACACTGGTTGGTTAGAGAACTATGATATAAAATGTCTGAATCATGAAACAGTCTATAGAAGTCAAGAGAGTATTGCATACTATGCAAATACTAAATTCATTAATTTGTTGCATTGACTGAACACCGAGCTATATATAATATAAATTATGTGTTGTAGATGTCATACAGCTGGGTGATGTGGTTAAATTAGGAGAAGTTAGCAATAATAAAGTCTTGGATGTTTCTATATAGTCTTTACAAGAGGGGGAAAGTGGAAACCCCAACAAACACATTACTATGTTAATTGCTTTCCTGATATATGAACATATAACTATGAAATCTTTTTGAAAATATATTATAGATATAATAACTTTTAAGAAACATATATAAAATATCATTAATTGAATCACACATAACTTTGAGAAAAATAAATGGAACATGATTTAAAATTTCACCAAAAGATAGTAAGAGTTTTACCTAGTTCTTTTGCAATGAGGCCTTTTACTTTTGAACCATTTTAGCATTTTGGAAATTCTCCCAACTTAAATAATGAGAAATGTTTTTGGTTATAATCCTTAACCAGAAGGACAAAGATTGATGCAGAAACCACCGAACTGATCAGCTGTAGCTAAACTGTTACTTTAAAATGGTTTCATCTTTCTATAATTTTTTTTCCCATCTTTATGCAGAAAGAGCATCTTGAGCTTGGAGAGCTTGAATGGCTAGCAGACATGGGTCTTTTTGGTGATCAATTGCCTGAGGAGGCTTTAGCAGCAGCTGAAGTTCCTCAACTTCCAATACCACAGTTATGCAATTTCAACTCATACAGACCTACCAAACATTCCATGCCCCTTAAGAAGCCTAGACTTGAAATCCCAGATGATAATTATGAGTTCTTTACAGTCCCTGATCTCGGTTGAGTGGATGTAAATAGACTTGTGTGTCGATAGTTTGATCGACTATATATTTATACTTTCATATGTACGTATACTTAACCACCTGCACCATGCATAGCGGAAGTCTTGGGTGGCAAAATGTTCTTGAGAATACGTAACTCTTGGTCATGCCTGTCTTAGAAAATGTCCCAGTATCTGTCATGATATTTCTTGTGAAAGCTGACATTTAAGATGAGATTAAACCAACACTTGGTCTGTTGATGTTTGAATTTGAGTCTGACAAATTTTGGGTAATTTAAAAAAACTGTAGCCAGAAAATAAATCATAAGATTATTGTCTGAACAGAAAACTTTGAACTGCAATTACTCAAGACTTAGAACTCTGAAGTTGTCATGGATGTAGAAGGTAACGACTGACACCATGATCAGTGTGATTATGCCTTCTATTTCATTACAAAGGGAGTGAGAATGGGGATTGGCAGCTATACCAAAACAATTTAGATATTTGGTGAGGAGAGCCCAGCTCTGGGTTTGGGACTGATTTGCTTTCCAGGTTCCCTTTTGACCTCTAGGGGTAGAAACTGGAAACTAGAAATGCTTTGCACCTTTTGCATGATCATTTTCCCCTATTCTTTTGGACCTTTTGAAATTTAGATTCCATTCATGAAAAGAAGTGGGTTGAAATGGTAAGATTGAACTCTCTGCCTAACTTCAAACCAGTTAACCACCTTTCGACCTGACTTTAGGTGTCCTTAGTTTGGCATGATCATACTTTCTAAGAGTAAATCTCCATTTCCAGACCCTGGTGAAGAACTATTTATAAGTTATTCCCAGCTGCTAAGATGACAGCAATTCCTCAAACCAAATGGCCAGAGACATGCATCACTCCGTCTTCTCTTCATTTTCCATGATCTTTCCTATTGTTCTAACTTCTATTCTTTCACTTGTTCATTCATTGACCTTAAAATCAGATATTGAAGCTCTTCAATCCCTGAAAAGTTCCGTTGATCCCAACATGATTCCAGCGTCATCTTACCTCACTACTTGGGATTTCTCAGCGGATCCATGTGAAAGTACAGGTGCAAATTTTCTTGGAATTTTATGTTCCATCCCTTCGGGCAATTCAACAAGCCGAATAGTATCAATTGAACTTGATAGAGCAGGATATGATGGTTTTCTAACACACAATATAGGAAACCTTACTGAGCTTACCTCCCTTGACCTAAGCAGAAACCGTTTTAGAGGGCCATTACCTGAGACATTAAAAAATCTCAAGAAGCTAATCCGAATTTCTTTTTCAGGCAATTTTTTCACTGGCAGCATCTCAGGATGGATCCATGGATTGAACAAGGTTGAAAGAATAGACCTCTCGAGAAACCTCCTCTCAGGTCAGATCCCTGCCAGGATTTCTGAACTACGAAGATTGACTCACTTAAGCCTGTCAAATAATGAATTTTCAAGAAGAATTCCTGACATTAAAGGATTATGGCAGCTCCAGACATTAGAGCTTGGCTCCAATAAGTTAAGCGGAAGCTTCCCAAAGCTTCCTACAAGGTTGAGAACTTTGACTTTGTCTCACAACCGGCTTTCGGGACATATTACATCATTAGAGAATCTTGAACAGCTAAGATTGGTAGATGTGAGTGATAACATGTTTTCAGGTCCCATTAGTAGGGGAATTCTTGCATTGGCTCAGTTGAAGCACCTTAATGTTTCCTTCAACCAACTCACAGCAATAGAGGTGAACAACTATTTTCGGAGTGGGTCCCCACTTCAAGTACTTGATGCACAAGGGAACCGTCTGCACGGTCATTTGCCTGTTAAATTGGTCAACTTTGAGAGGTTAGCAGTAATTAATCTAGCATACAATGGATTGACAGGTCGAATACCGATGGCATATGGACTGAGATTGGGGAGACCATGGAGAATATTGTTTTTAGATGATAACTTCCTATCAGGTCGTCTTCCACCCCAGTTCAATAGCAGCATGGTGAGGATCAGAGGCAGCCTTGCAAATAATTGCCTGATGTGCCCAATAAACATCCCCCTTTGCCGGGGAGGTCAGAGGCTAGCTTTAGGTTGCATTAGTGAGATTGATGGCAATTGACAAATAGTGAAAGAGCAGTGAATATATTCTAGGGAGACGTCATTCTATCCATCTAGTAAATGAAAAGTACAAAATGAATTTCTCAGTGATCCATTTAAATGTAACCATTCAAACAAAAACTATTATTAACTTTCTTAGCACATGTAAATTGGTTTCTATGAATGTGAAAAACAAAAAATTAACCAGAGAAGAAATTCTCTATGGTAAAATTGCCTAGAAGCACTGTTAGAGCTGATATAAACACAGAATTCTTTCCTTCAACAACTTAGAAAATGCTGCAGTTTTAGAAAAGCCAATTAACAGTAATGTTGCCAAGCCATGTGAAAAGAGGAAATTGAGCCAGGGCAATAAAGAGCAAAAGGTAGTGGTGCCTGCTGGAATCATAACTTCTAACCTCTGCGAAGAGGACTCTTTTCATTGTTTTCACCAAGAAGACTCCCATGCATAAGCATGTCCACGGCATCAAAAAGTAGTATGAGTATCTCCATATGATCTTTCCAAGGACAGCCAAACACATTCCCGTGAAAGTATACCCAGCATATGCTAGAATGTCGAGTAAAGGCGCCTCACCACTACCCAATGATAGTAATGTTACTTTCAGTAGCATGACTTGCAGAAACCAGCCAAACAATCCCTTAACAAACAGCCAGTTAAGTGCTTCAGGGCTAAACCTGGTGGAAAAGGAGAGAATAGAAATCATTAGAGAAACAGAAGGGGAACACGGGATATGTAGTCTTGCCAAGCAGTATATATATAGAAAACTAAAAGTGAATAAAATCAAGTTCGCCACATTATGAATCACAATACTGCATCTAGAGGGGTCACCACCAGAAACAAGACTAGACTAATAATAAAAGCCAGATCTTAGGGTATAGAGCATCAACATGGAAGCCTAAGTTTTTCAAAGGAGACACAAGATGGACTATTGCAAGTTCCAAAAATAAGTCAATATACAGAAAAATGTCGAATAACCATGACAAGGTACAAGAATAACAACAACCATTTTATTTTCCTTCATAACTTGCACACTATCCATAGAAAGGTCCATTCTTCCTGTGGTGCCTGAATGCAAAACTTCTTGACTTGCCTTCATCTCACAGGGATATTCAACTATAAAGAATGTTAGACGCCACACACATTGCTTTAGCTATTGGATTCTACTTCAAGACCCCAAGAGAATACAAAAGGAAAGCCTCTCTAGCAAGAGAAGGATTGGGGCATAAAGGTAAAAAAAGAAGTCAGACCCCTCAAAGATGCCCAGTTATTGTTAGTAAAAAGTGTTTGGAAGTAACTTAATAAAAGATTACAACAGAGCAGGAAGACTTCTGTCCAGAACAAGGTTTCAAACCGCTAAAATGTACATTGCCAAATTGGGAAACAGAAGGTAGAAATAGAAGAAAATGTTAGATTGAGGAAAATGAATCACTTACTTTCCTTGAAGGCCAAGTAACAATCCAGCAAGAACAACATAGGTACCAAATGCCATAAATGGGATGTACAAGTCTGGTGCATTTATGTCATAAATTGGGGGCTTATAGGAAAGCCTGCCACCTACTGGCTCAGTTATTCTTGTCCAATGGCCCTGAAGGAAAAAGGAGATATGAGAAGGTAAATAAACAAAAATACATAAAATGTCACAAAGGGGAGAATATGCTTACCCTGTGCAGGAATGGCAATACAACAATCTTCAATTTGTTTCTAACATACTGATCATTAACTTGAAAGTAGTATTGGGGATCAGAGAAGTACCTACTTATCTGCTTATTTCAAGATGGAAAAAAAATTATAAGGCGAGAACAAAATTCATAGATTTGGAGCATTTCAGATATGGATCCTTTTTTTATATCTTAATAACTATTTAAAGTATTTAAAGTAAAGGCATTTTATTACTTTTATAATAATAGGAATGTCTTTCAACTTCCTATGCCATTTATATCAACATTTTTTAGTCTTTATTACACAATTAACCCATGCTTATTAATGCTAAAAATTGACATGGCGTATACAATTGTTCCCACAGAATTCATCTTAAGTATTAACTTCTGAAGGTCACTCCTCAGATAGCAAAATGCACCACGTTAGGGCTGTGCCAAAATCATAAAAGGTTAACTGAACTATGATGTTAGCTTGATTCAGTTTTTATTGTTCTCAGTTCAATTTCAGTTCAGGTAATGGTAACATCCTTTTGGTGTGTTTTAGTTTTGGGTTCTACTAAAATCAAAATAATCTAATCACAACCAACTTCAATGCGTTTTTACTTACTTTAAAATTTGCATATATTTAAATAGTTTTTTTTTTAAAGTTCAAGAAAATACTTTTAAATATAAAGACCAGGTAATCAAATTGAACCATGAAATTTTGTTTAGAAGTTTAAGAAATTTTCTTTGGTTTCAATTTAAATTAACATATCACTTTGACGGTATTCCTGAAAAGCAATATCAGGAAGCGACTAGAAGTGAAAGAATGCAGTATTTAAGCATATGGTAATAGCAATAAGTAGACCTCTCTAGATAACTGCACCCACCATGCTACTTACATTGCTTTGCACATACTCAGAACTTGATCCCAAAATTTTCTCTCCATATGCACCCAGACCACCTCGGATAAGACCAGAACCAGCCCCATAAAATGCATTACCAAATGGATTTGGCTGAGAATTTGTTGGTGGTCTTGTTACACCAGGCTGGGCTCCCAAGTTACTATACATTTCTGAAATCAAACAAAAGGTGAGAAAACATAGTGAGAACTTCAATTACAAACCCCAAAATAATTTGCTTTCAGTTTCGAATGCTCTTTCTTTGACAACTTGAGAATGTAACATCGAAAGATTGTGTAATACCCCGAATAGAATTTCAACTTCTACTAATGCCACATAGCCCCACCTTATTTAAACATTTAAAAACCTTTTTTATTTGTTTTAAATTAGACCTACGCCCTTAAGTAACAGCAACAGGAAAGCAACCACGACCCAAATTTCATAATAATAACAATAATAATAAAAATCTAAGCTTTACATACAGATTGAATCTAAACAACTGAGAATCAATTCTTTCATAGATGTTCACTTATTTATCTAATTTCCAGAATTAAAAAAAAATGAACATGAAGAATTTTGAATCAAGGATCCATCAATTTAAACTACAAAGTAAATAATAATAATAATAATAATAATAAATAAGAAATTTTAGATAGTAATTCATTATAATTTACAAGAAAAATTTAAATTAGGTCACGCAAAAATGCACATGTACATAAAATTATTTGATTACATTAATAAACAGAGAGATTTGGAACGGAAAAGAAAGGACCTTTCGACTAAAGAGAAAGCCGTAAATCCGAAGAAGATTCCGGCGAGGCAGATCCGAGTTCCGACGCGATTCCGTTGAGGGTTTATGCGTGGGAGGGCAGGCCGGTCGTGGAAAACTCAGAGAAGAAGTAACGGTGAGAGAATTAGCGAAAAAAAGAATAAATGCGAAAAAAAGGGGAAAATCGGAGGAGCCACATGTCAACACGTGCAGCCACGTTGATCGCTCCGCGTCATTGGACCAATCCGATCCAGAGCCCAGATTTCGACCTTTTTAATAATTTTTCCATATATATTTCAAAAATATTGCCACAAAACTAGAAATAATTTTGTTTAAAGAAAAATATTTTTTTAAAGTCATATTCTTATTTTTTTTATATTCCAATTTTATTTTATATTTCATGAATTTCTTTTATTTGAGACATTAAAAATAATAAAATATTATATTAAAAAATAATTTTAATCTAAAATATGTCACATTTATACCTTTTTTTTTCTTAAAATTCATTACAAACAAATAAAATTAATAAAATGAAAAAAAAAAAGTAATTTCATAACGAAGCAGAATTGTTCGATTTAGACATTATTGGTCCCTTTAATTTTTAGAATATTGAACTGTTTAGTTATTGGCAAAAATATGCTTAGCTATAATACTCAATTCTTAAAGGGTTGTAATTAAAAAAAAAAAATCCATTTTGGATTTCATTTGTAATTTAATTTTAATGTGTGTTTAAATTGCAAAATAAAAACTTTTTAAAATTTAAAATTTAACTATATTAATTTATATAATTATTTTTTAAAAAATAAAATTTTATAAATTTTGAACTGAATCTCATTATCTATAATCTCTTATTTTATTCTCACCTACAACTTTATTTGTAAAAATAAATATAATTTTTTAAGAGAAATAACTTTTTTTTCAATTTTCATAAAAAACCTTTTTTCTTAATAACATCATTTTTTTTATGGTCAAATTATCCCATAAGTCCTTATATTATGTCAAATTTTAAAATTTAATCTTTTTGTTATAATTTTTTTATATAAATTTAATTATTATATTATTTTTTTTGTCATTCAAAGGGGTTGAGCCCTACATAAAAGAAAAGAGGAAAAGATTAAGATTCGAATCTCAATTTTGATTTTTTTTAAGGTTGATTTGATTATTAAATTAAACAGTTAAAAATAATTATTATATTATTTTAATTTAATAATTTTAATGTAATTATTAATTTCATCTAATTTTTTTGTTAAATATATTGATGTTACATTTAATCTACTTGCATGTATGTTAACTAAATGAGTTTTATTATTTGCACTTCAATAATTACTCAATACACCATTTATTTTTAACATTTTATTTTTTACTTTACACATCACATACTTAAAATATAAATTTATCAAAAATCCAAACACATCACCTCTCTTTCTCTCATATCTTATCTCCTCTCTCTTTCTTTTCAATTAAAATCCAAAGATTTTAAGTCACAATCAAATCAAATTTAAAGGAAATTTTGTTAATTTGGAGTTAAAAAGTATAAAATCAAAAGTAAATAGTTTATTTTTTTATTTGATTTCGTATTTAATTTCTTAAAATTTCATGTTAAAATCTTTGAATACGATTTAATACTTTTGAAAATGAGTTTATGAAAGTTTTTAAATATTTTCAAAAATAAATGTATGGAAACTTTTAAAAATTTTTAAAAATTCAAGATTTTCAAAAATAAATATTTAAAAACCTTTAAAAATATAAAAAAATAAATTTAAGAAAAAAGGTGTGAAAGATAAAAAAAAAATTAACTAATAAATATTTAAAAAATTTTATTAAAATTTAAAAAGTTATGGTATATTGTGAAGAAGTTGGGGTATAAATAGAAATAGCCTCACTAAAATACCGTGATATTTTGAGTGGGTTAGATTTTAAAAGATGCTGACATGGATAAAATGATAGGTCATGTGGCTTATTTTTTAATACACGTCAGATTACATCTTTAAATTTTTTAAAAAACCTTAACAATTAATTTTAAATTTTTTTAAATAACAACTTAAAAAACTAATTTGAAAAAAAAAAATTCCCGCACACTCTCTCTAGAAAACTCTCCCCTTAAAATTTTAACCAATAGTCTTCCTATCCCAGATTCCGTTGAGCCATCGCCATCGTTGTTGTCATCGGCCATCGCTTGTCGGCGCAGTTTTGCTCCCAAAATTGAACCCGTACACTTCTCTCTTTTTCCTCTTTCCTTTTATCCAAGTAAATTTTCTCAAAAAATCAACCAACACTCCTAGATCTAAGGCTTAAGGCAGGCGGTTTCTTCTTCCGAAAACTCCTCATCCGCCGCTCCAAATGGCCTCAAATTTTACTATGTTGTTTCCCTCCCTCTCGTCTTCCCTTTCATTGATTCGATTTTCCTTAATTATTAAATGAGTATTATAATTAAATATTTGAAATAATTTTTATATGATATTAAAAAATTAATTATCATAACTAAAAAATTAAAAATTAAAATAAATTTTATATGTTTATATTAAATTAAAATAAATATAAAAAATAACGTATTAAATATATTAAACGTATTAAATATGTTGAATATATATTAATATGATAAAATTAAATTAAACGTATTATTCACGTTGTGTTACGTATTTAAATATATTAATGTATATAAGATATGAATAAAAATAAAAATTTAAAAAGTAATTAAAATAAAAATAAAACTCCATCTCTTAACACCGTTTTTTGAATTAAAAATTAATATGATAATGTATCAAATATTAATTTTTATGTATCTTGCCGGTACCGTCTCAAGCCGATGTGTTGCAATCTCTTGCACACTAGTAACCTGTAGAGACAACTTGAAGCTCTCGGGCTTAGCTGCAACAGCTACACCATGCAGCCATTTCTGATCACAACTCCTTTCTGTGTGTTGCTGATCGACATACGAGGTAATCAGCTAAACTCAATGCCCTGGTTTTTGTTGCCCAAACATGCACCACGGTAACAGGCTTTCCCTGCTAAAATAATTGAAACGAGATAGACACATGTTACCTAATTTAATCCTTAATTGAAATGGATGTTACCTAATTTAATCCTTAATTGAAATGGCTGCCCATGTTGAGTAGAAAATATATATGAAACAAAATTGGGAGACTAAAAAATTAATTACACAAGCAACTTAATATATCTATATATGTAATTTCTGTAAACTGATTTTTATTGAAATAATTTGGATTTAACAATGAAATTTAGGATTTGGAGTGTTCAATATCTAAGTCGTAGGGAAAAAAAAAAACAATTATATTCGTTTAAAAACCATTTTTATGAATAAAAAATACGAAACTGATTTCAAAGATTTTAAAATATTTTTTTAATTCTTAATCAATTCTTAACCTCTTTCAATCTTTATTTATTTAATTTATATTAAAATGATATTATGCGTCGAAACTTTTTTAAATCTATAACTTTTAAGAATATATATACAAACCATTTCAATTAATGCTGAGAGGAGATTAAAAATATAAAACAAAGAGCAAGTCATTGTCTATAATTTAAGATTATGTTTTATTTCTTTAATTGTCTTTGACTAAGTCTTAGTTTGTATTCTACTGTAAGTGCCGTATAGTATGATTAAATTTATCACACCATCAATTGAATTTAAATATCAATTTTAATAAGGTTCATTTAATATAAATTTTTTATTAAATTTTTTTTAATTATAATTATAATAATTTTTTTCAATCACAATTATAATAATTTTTATTACTGTTTCTAATTTTATTAAAATCATTTTCACTGTCCATCCAAATGTAACCTAACTTTTTCAAACAATATTGATGAATACAGCTAGGGGCAGATAGTAAATATTAAATTACAAAATAAAAACTTTGATCACTCATGATCACATGTCATTGTCTGTTTTTTTTTTTTTTGCTTTTTTTTTTCTCACTAAGCTCGTTGTATTCTCATTCAGCATGCAAATATCATTTAAAAGATAGTCATAAATCAAGTAAAAATATTAGATTTTAAAAATATCAAAATATTAAACAACACTAATATATGTTTTAGAATCGAATTCTGAACATAAGTTTTAGGGTCGAGACCTAATTTTTTTGAAATAAAATTATAGATAATATAGAATGATAATCATTTAATATTTAAGATGACATTTGAAATAAAATAAGAAATTGTACAAATAAGAAGAGAAACTCTAATAAGAGATTCAGAATGCTTTTAAAAAACTCTCAAAATTGATCTAAATAAAAGTTAGAAGAATCTCTAACTTAATCTAATGACAAAAAGTTATAAGGAAAGAAAATTATACAGAGACACAACATTTATATATGTAAACTTAGGTCATGTTTGGTATATATGATGATGAATATGATAGAGTGATAATTATTTCATATCATATTTGATTTGTATATAAAGAAATGAATAGGATTGCATGAAAGATTAATTATCCTCTTGGCATAGCATGATTTACTATTTCTCAAGTAGAGAAAATTATTTTTAATTCATGGGATTAAACTTATATGTCAAATTATAATTTTAAATATTATATCAATAATTTAAATTGTAAAAATTTTGACAAAAAATAATTTTGATTAATAAATAAATTATCGTATCATAGTTCTTACATACATCAAACATAAAATAAGATGATATTATTTAATTTAATTTAATTTATAATATAATTTTATCTTATTATAATCTTGTACGCTAGACGTGCCGTGAATACCACAAGTTAAGCGATATATTAGGGTTTCAGCTTCAGCATATCAATGAATGGATCATCAAACTTTCGGTTGAAAAAATAATGAAAATACTCCTCATTGGTGACGGTCTTGTATAGAGGGGGAGTTCCCAACTTGATAAGTGGCTCGGCTGGCCCAATGTTGGCAGATGAACTAGGATAGCAAAATGTTACCACCGATAGCCTCTCCTTCAATCCATTTGCCACTGCTCTATGTTGGGGTGCTTTGAAAATCCCATTGCTTGTTACCTACATATATCAATCAATTGATAGATTTATTAATTATGATCTTGCCCTTTAACTTTGAACCAGTTAGTCGTCTAGATACGATTTGGATCAAGTTTGAATCTAATCATTTCGGATCAAAAATTTTTTGAACCATTTTAGATTTAACTATTGAATTTGGATTATTTTAAATTTAAATTATTAATTTTTAAAATTAAATTAATTCAAATCTAATTCATTTTGAATTTAAATTAAGTGAATGGGTATAGTTTGTTATATGCATATATATTTTGTATATGGAAAGCTGTAGTCTGAGAGCAAGATAATGAGTTATAGGAATTGGTATTTGAATTCAGACTTATTAAATGTAACATTTTAAAGATAATTATATCAATCAACTGAATCGAATTCTGAATTCATGCATATATTATTTTTTTATCACTAAGCAAAATGTTGAGAAAATTGAGGTATATGGCTTTACGTACCTCTATAATCTGACCAAGGTTTACGACAATGGCGTCGTGGATGGGTTCAACAAACACCCATTGGCCATCCTTTAGGACCTGTAATCCAGGCATATCACCACACTCAAGCAATAGAGTGATCCCAGATATGTCAGCATGAGGGTTAAGCCCAAGCACTCGCTCTGATGCAGGACAAGGAGGATAGTAGTTCATCCTGACCTCATAGTTTCCTTCTTGAAAATTTTGAGACAATTTTTCATCCTCCACCTTAAGTGCCTTTGCCATGAATTTCATCAAGCAGACTGCCACCTCCCTCATGTTTTCTGAATAATTCCCTAATGTTTCCCTATACATAAAATTTGAATTTCCATAAAATTAACTTAAAAAATGCATGAAAAAAAATAAAAATTTACATTATATAGTATTTTTACCATTAATTTTGTGATAAATCAAGATACAACATTCGCGTGATCAATTTTTTTTAACATGAATTGTCTATTGCGGATCTACTTTTTAATTTACGATATTCATGAACACTTTAAAAAATAAAAAATAAGAAAATTCAAAAAAAAAATTTCTTGAGCACTCATAAAATTTTTTCATAGACAGACTGTTCATCAATTATAAAATTAATAAATTCATTGATAATTATATATATATATATATTATAAGTGGACATTCTCGAAAAAAGTTTTGATACTATCGCTGTAAATTGTAATAATTTTTTCAAAACAAAAAATCTTTTTTTTTTTGAAGAAATGAGGATTCTATGATTTTTGAGACAAAGAATCTTAGCCAATTATTAAACAAAATGTTCGGTGCAAATCGAGAACCTAATGGTCTTTGCTAAATTATTAGATTACCTGAAACTAGGAGGCTGCTGTGGCCACAGACTCATGTTTCTCCTTTGAGCAGGAAGAGTCCGGAGGAATATCATGTCATTCCACTCAAGCTTTTGATCTTTCGAGGTTACAAATGCCTGGCCATAGCCTTCAAGGCTTCCCGGTTGCTGTGCTGAGCGTTTCTTCTCTTGCAAAGGAAGGTCAAAGAACTCTTTAGCTTGCTCCCTCATTTTTTTTATGGATTTCATTTGAAGCTCCATGATTTACCAGCTGCAACATTTAAAAATAAATAAATAAATTTCTCTCGTGATAGCAATCTTGGGGAAATTTTCATCTTTAGTCAATGATCTTTTGTTAAAGTTGTATTATTTTTAATATGTTTCAAATTCATTTATCCATCAACATATCATTAAAATAATTTAGTTCATATTTCATCTAAATTTTAACAGATAAAAGTTCGTGATCGAAAGATTAAAAACTTTAAATCATGATCGAAAATGGAACATTATAAAAAGAAGTAGAAAAGAAAAAAGTTAATTACTTGAAAAACACCCCAATCTTTGCATGCGGAGTAAAGCTTATGAAGCTCTACAGCTTGCTGTTGGGAGTCATTATTGTTTCGGAGCTTGTTCATATCAATCAATGGCACAACAAGGGAAGGACAACCAGAGGGATCAATGGCTGCAATATTCTCCATGTCATCCCTTATATACCTTTCCGGCACGGTCTCCGGCCGCCGTGTTGCAAGCTCTTGCACACTAGGAACCGGGAGAGACCACTCCAAGGTCTCAGCTGCCACTGCTACACCATCCATTTCTCTCACAACTATTATGGATTTCAGCAGATCTACAATGTAACCTAAACTTAATGGTCTGGTTGCTATCAAACCTGAACCATATATAGCACAAAGGACAGCTTCCCTGTAATGGCGAATTCAGGATTTTTTTTAAGTATTCATTTATAATATATATAAAAAATTATTGACTAATTTATTAATTTAGCGAAGAATTTTCCTTCACTTTACTTGTTTACTGCCCCATGTGGATTTCCCTGCCAAAATAATTAAAAGGAAACTGCTTTTGTTTTTCAATGCATCACGCCAGCATGTCCATTTTGAAGAATGGCCGGCTGCGTTGAATAGGAATACGAAACACGACCAACTCAATTGTCTAATTTGTGTAAGTCAACTGTTTTGGTACGCTGATACAACTTGGATTTAACAATTTATTGAGGATTCATGGTCTGTTTCTAACTTCTAACGAAACAATTTTAAATGGAGAGAAATCAAGTTACATCCACATAAAATTAATTAATTTAATTAATTTTAAATTTTTCTGTAATTTATTGTATAATTAATGTTTTAAGAAATTAATTGTTGGGTATAACAAACTGCTCGAATTATTTTTATATTTGCAACGTTTTAAATTTATTTGATATTTTTATTACTTCGATAGTGAATATTGTATTTTTTAATAGAAGTCAAACTCTTGAAATTTTATTATATCAAACAAATTATTTAACATTTTCAATTGATTTAAAAATTAACATACATAATTTACATGAATAATTAACAAGTGATTAGTTCAATCGGTTAAAGTCGTTTTACTCAATGAAAAAGTCTTGTTGAGATTATCTCGAATACATTACCTACAGTCACTTATCTTAAACTGTTAGATACAGTACATTTTGCTTTGACCTGAAAGACTGAATAGTCTATTTACTTTCAATTTTTTTTTTATAAAAAAAATAATTTACATGAATATGATATAAAATTTTAAGATTTACATTTATGATATAAGTGAATGTGTATCCATTTTTTAATAAGTATAATAATATTATTAAATTGTATAATAAATTAAACAAACTAACATATCAACGTAAATTTAAATCAAATTTAGACAATTCTCGAACTTAAAACTTAATGGTTTCAAGATTTTTTTTGGGACAAGATCTGATGAAATACGTAGTTAACAAGATTTTCAAAGGGCCGGTGTTCTCTGACCTTGAAAAGTAAAAATTTGAAAACGGTGTCGTGCTAGGACCGTTACCAATGGCAGTAACAAGCAAACCACCTCTTTTATTGACCAAAAACTTATCCTATAAATTTGACTTTTCGCATAGAGGAAATTGAGTTAAATGCTGAGACACATGCAACGTTCAAAGAATAAGGTGTTTGAATTTCCTTTTTCAAATAAACTTTTTACAATAACTTTCAATTGTGGAGTCTATCATAAGCTTAGGAATGCAGAACTTGGACTTGGGTAAATCCAATTAAGCCAAGTCCAGCTTGAGCAACTCAACTGGTCATCATCGAGTGGGTTTGTTGTTGGAGTATCATAACATTGGGCTCAAAAATGCCAAACCAAAGCTGTTGGGTTCGTTTCTTGCTTTGCGATACATTAGCTTAGCTCCAATCCAAAGTCAAACGGTGGTTAGAACTTTGCTATGGATGCTGCACAGGTAGAGGAAGCTTTGAAGGTGTTGGACGCCTCTCTCTCTTACATCAAATGGCGTCTTAAATCTTCTGCTAAACATCGACTCCAGATAGGTCCTTTTTTCTCTTTCTTTCCTTTGACTGAAACGTTTATGGGTTCCTTTCAATATTTCACTTTCTGGGTTTTCTCTACTTTTCATAATTAGCTTTTTGTTTTGGGTATTACCATTTTGTTTGTTTGATCAGAAAATAATGTATTTGTTTTCTTAAATGAATTGGAAATTGAGATAAGCTAAGTCAAAATTTTTAATTGCCGAAAGGCATGGATGATTTTTAAGGTTCTCAGTTCTGGGTGAAAAGCGATGAATGTTTGTTGTTCTTTGATACATTTTCTTTGCAAAAATCAAGTTTTGACATCACATTTTATTGCTGTAATGAATGTTATTTTCTGTTAAAAAACTTGTTTTATGTAGGTTTGATTGTTCCTTTTACTAGCTTTTGGTGCAAAAGCAAATTTGAATAATTGAAAATAAAAAACTAATTTTTGTGAAGAACAATGCATGATTTTACTTTTATACAAATCAGTTAAGTTTAAATGTGTGTTATATTTAACTCTTTGTTCAATTTTAATAAAATATGGTTTTGCTTTTTATTGTTGCTTTAGTTGCAAAAGCAACAATAAAATGGAAGTGTTGTAACTTGGCAGTATTTTGACATTTACAGCAAAAACTAAGAATGTTTCTAACCCATCTATTATATCTGTGGACCGCAGTTATTGAGTATTGAAACTGGAAGAAGTACGGTATTTCTAAAAATTGATCTTATGTTCTGTGAAATTGAAACATTTCAATTATAACTCGGCACTAATGCTTGGACAGATGTTCTGGCCTTGTGCAATGGAATGAGGCCAGTTGTGATGATTGACTATGGTGGAAAGATGCCTGAATTGCAAGAACGTCTATGTGCATTTCTTGAACACTGCCAAAAGGTCTTACTTCACACTGACTTACTAGATTATTTGGGAATTGAATTGAATATATTCTTATAACCTCTCTTTTTATTGCTTGTTCCAGTTTTCTTGTATTTGAGTTGTCTGATCCACTGTATTATTTTTAACTGTTCCTTAACTCGTTTGAATCATATGTAATTATATCATTGAAGTGCATGGAGATACATAGAACATATGTATGCATTTATGTTTATGTAAATCATTTTAGTCCTCAGTTCTCGGTATTACAAATTGTGGAATTGGAACTCTGTTTATTCATGCATTCTGCATACTGAAGTACACGCACTGATTTTCCATCCCTGCATGACCAAAAGAATCTTCTTAAAATAGTCATCAACTTTCTTTTGTAAAGATGATTCCTATATATAGGCAAACAGGATATCTTTAGGACTTATTGGAGTTTTATTTTAGCCATCTTCTAATTATTGATAGCATATTAAACTTTTGTTAATTTTCAGTCAATTGATGATTGAATGTTGAACTTAAAACTGTACAGAGAAGAAGGAAGAGCATTTTATATTAGGAACCTTTCCATCATAATTATTCTTGGAAGTTTACTTAAATTTATCCCTTTTGATAGCTTTCAAAGTGGTATGATCTTTTTTAAACTTTTTCACCCTGATTGAGTCACTGCTTATTTTTAGAAATCAGGAATCCTACCATCTTTATCGATGGTTTATAATATTTTGGTTTTAACAGTCTAAAATTCCTCTCATAATTCACTTATGCTAAGATGGTTCTCTATGTGCAAACGTACTAACTTGTTTGAATCTGCTAGGTTTAGTGTAAGCTACAATCCCCATAGACATAGTTAATTATAGATAATGTTGTATCATTTATCCAGCCTTGTTCATTACAAAGCATATCTGTTTGTCAAATAGACGGTTTTAATTGTATTGGACCATCTAGTTTTGTGTTCATACCCAATCTGTGTTGACAAGGTCAGTGTTAGATGCACTGCACGATTGTTAGATCTACTGATATATTTTGTATTTTCATTTTTTACTATGCTTGTTGAAAAGTTGTCACTTGTGGGGTTAAATACTATCTTTTAATATGATATCGTTCAGGAATCATCAATTTTTGAACAGCTAAGAGTAATGATTATAGAAGATATGATATATTTGATCCATGTAAAAGAAATGGCCAAGCATGTGAGTTCGAGTTTGAGCTCAGAAGTGGAACTGCTATTTGTGGATCTAGAACAGGATCCTCCCAAGGTTTCTCCCTGCCGCATGATTTTACTTTCCGTAAATTTTCCTATCTAAAAGATGTATCTTGTTCCTTCTGAATGAGGAACTTCACATTTTTGTTCCAGATGAGAACACTAGAAGACAAAAATTTACTAGGGATGCAGCTTATATCAATTCAGAAGTTGTTCTCTTTATATTTTCCTCTTGAAGGAGTGAGAAATGATCTCTTGCCACCTGACAGGACAGAATTCAGGGTAGATACCAAATCCTTAAGTGAGCCTATCAATTCTCAATCTTCTTTACTTATGGATCTCAGTAGCTGCATGCATGACACTAAGGTCACTGTGCCAACTATAAATGGGTAATCATTTAATCTCATTATTTTACATGCAATTATATCATAGGTATATGATATCTTCTATGCCAACACATATCATGGAAGCCACTGGCGTCTCTATGAGAATATTGAGTATCTTGTTCGTAATTCCTACAAGTACAAGGTTTTGATAATATGGCTATCTAAATGTAGTCCAAAATGCATTTTCCATTCTGGGAAGTCCATTGGTGGCACTCTCTAACTACACAATTTTCTCTGTTCCTAAGTTCTTACATAAGCAACTTGCCTCTCTATCGCTACTCCAAATATTGGCATAATATAAGCCAGTATACTTTATAATAATATGAAAACCATGTTTATTTGCTTCAGGTGGTTTCTGTTGTAGTGATACCTTATGAATGCCTTCTTGTTATAGTACTTGGATTTATATTTCTGGTGCAGATGGCTTCTTGGTTATCCAGTAGTGTACTTGTTTAGCAAGGATCATATCGGAGATGCTATTTATAACCTTTCCACCAAATTTCTTCGCATCTACAAAATTTTGGTATACAGGTTTGCTTTTCTGATTCTTATCTTTAGATTGTTTAATTCCAATCATATGAATGAAGGTCCACCAGTCACTATAATGATATCGATGCTGCTAGTGTTGAGTACATCCTGGAATTTTTATTGTTTCTCTGTTAACCTCCTAGCTATGTTTCCTGAAAGTTGCATTTTCATCATGTGGAGCAAGAAGGTGGATCCGGTCCCAAAAGTTCAAAATCCAACGCATACAAAGAAATGCATTACATTTAGTGCAAGTGTTCAACAATATTTTTCATAGGAAGAAGTGAAGTAATTAATATAAGATTGAAGAATCTGATTGGGGGAAATATATTCCTCAACATCTGAGTTGTATCTATTAAAATGCATAGCATGTAGGTTCAAGGGTCACCACAAGCTTTTTTTTTTTTTTTTTCAGACTCATGGCCTAGAAAATTCAGTTCCCTTGTCTGCTATATTGCTATTATCAACAAGAAGCTTAATTAGCGGTTTGTTCATGTCAAAATTTTAAATTATTCCAGGAAGAGTGCCCCCAGTAAAGGATCTCACCCTGAAGAACTGATGAGGTAAGTTCCCGGTAATAATGTATAAGATTCTTCAAAATTACATTTTACCATGTCACAGGGCTCTAGAGTGACAAACTTGTGGTTGTTAACTCTTGTGATTGCCTGCAATCATCCCAGTCTGTGTTTAGATTGCCTGCAATCATCTCAGTCTGTGTTTAGATTTTGTGTACTATTGTTTTCACTGTGGTTTGGAATTTGGAGGATCTTACTGTTTTCACCATTCGTAATTATCATTTTCATAAAACAATACATAACCATAGGCTTCTAAAAATTCTGAACTTTTACAGTTGAAAGCTTGAGATATTTTACCTAAATATTACTCAATTGTAGACTTTAATGACTAGAAAGTAGGTTCATCCAAAGCTCCACCCTTAGTTGTACCCACAAAACACACTATACTCTTATACGAGAACAAGTATGTATATATATATTTCTTTTGTGTTTCGGAGGTATTTTATAATCAATAGACTACATCATGAAATCTATTTTACAGTTTTTCAGTGCCCTATGATCTGAGCATGAGAGGGAGCAATGAACCATGGGCAGAGATGTTTTTGGGTGGCTTGCAGTCAAAGTGGGAAACGTGCAAACAAACCTGGAGCTGCCTGGAAATGGAGGTTAGCGAATGCTATCCACAGGCAATTGCATTATAGAAAATGGTCTATGACCCTAATGATAATTCACCCTCTTTCCGTATGAGCATATTATCATGAACCATTATGCATTTGGACCATGACCATGGGGTTTTGACACAATAATTATGTAATTTTTTTTATATAAAAAGATCATAACTTGAGAAATAGATGTGCCATGGAGATATATATTAAGAAAAGCTTAAAGAGTATGGTTGGAATAAGATATGAGCTTTTTCCTTGCTTCACCTTTACTTTTCAGAACCAACGCAAGTTCAATGATGGCATAGCATGTTTGCTAATCACATGCAAATTATCAAACACGTAAAAAAAAATTTATTCCTAATCCCTTAAAAGCACAAAGTCTTCCGTCATTACACGCAGCAAGTAGGGAAATGTGGGATATGATCGAAAAAGGGAAAGAAAAACCAAGAGGGGAGAAAAAATTGAGACCTTTCAAAACCCTCTTCGAAATATGAGAAATTAAAATGAAAGAAAAGGATGAGCAATTATGGAAGTTTCCTAAGCTCCATTGATTAAGGCAAGGGCATCAGCTACGGTTGGAAGGGCAGGGATTGCTCCCTTTTTGGTTGTCGTGATGGCCCCACATGCATTAGCAAATTTCAGTACTTCCCTCAATTTTGATTCATTCTGTGAAATATAAACACAAAAAAAAAAAAAAAAAACCCATTTACATTAATAACAACAATAGCAAATTCTTATATCCCATCATTCTGGGATCAACCGTATGAAAGACAAAAACAATCATATTAAATTGTAATTTTTAATTTAATTTATAATTATATAAATCAGAATTTTAATCATTGTAAAAATATGGCTTGTTTTACCTCAACTATGGTTGGGTCGTTAACAATCTTGCATAGCAATGCACCAACAAAGGAGTCCCCAGCGCCAGTTGTATCCACGGTGTTGACATGGAAAGCATCGACCGCCCCATGGAAATTCTACATTTGAAAAAGGAAAAAAAAAAAAAAAAAAAAAACAAGAAGATTTTGTCCACCGTTAGTTTTGTTTTGTCAGTCAAGATCCATGGGTAGATTGGAACAAGACTCAAAAAAGCTCTCAGCCAGCAAACAAATGTATCAAGTCAACAATGTAATTGTTATTCATTCTATCAGAAAATCAATTATAGACCTAAAAGCACTTTTTTTTTTTAATTAACTTTTAATTATATCTACAATTTATGTATTCTATGTTATATTATTACTAATAATTCATATATTTATATCATGTTTTACATAAAAATTATATATCATAATTTATATCGATACGAAAATATAAAATATTTTTTTTTGTTAAAATTTTATGCTATCATCTTTGTACTTTTATTTATATCATTTTTACGCTGTATCACTGTATCAATACACAATATTTGAGTTCAAGTTGAAAAACCCACCTACGACCCCGTATAAATGACATTATTAATCAAATAAGTGCAAGTTGCAAAGTTGGGGGGCCGGAGCTGAACAGATAAGTAAGCATCATGATTCATGCTACACTTTATTAATTGTTTTAGCCTTTGGCACCAACCAATGGACATCAAACTCGCAATGCGATGAAGTAAATTTGTAAGATATCACCTCTTAGGAGTGAAAACATAAATCAACTAAATTAAAACCTAAGTTCTAATTTTTTATATTTTAATAGTATTAAATTACATAATTTTATTAATAAAGATATGCTTATGAAGTGTTTAGGGTAGTTTATGAACGTGAGCATCTAATTCGGCAAGCTGACTCAATTCCAGCACATCAATTTAAAACCTTAGATCAATGGCAGCTAAAAGTCAACATCAACCAGCAACTAATAAAGGCATCACCTACCATGACAGCTAAGAGTCAAAATTACTAAAAGTAAAGAAGCATCAACAAAGGTGTAGTACAAGAGGGTGAACTTTGCATACCTTGGTGTAGTATCTGCTACCCTTGTCACCAAGAGTGACCAAGAGAAGGGTAAAGTTGGGACGCCAAAGTTTCATGGCGGATTCATCGTCGATTTTGTCGCTACCAGTGAGGAACTCTAGCTCAACATCACTGACCTTGACAATATCAGCCTTATCCCAGATGGAAAGTATCTGTTTCCTTGCCTCATCAGCTGAAGGCCAAAGCGGCAGGCGAAGGTTTGGATCATATGAGAGCAAAGCACCTGACTCTTTGGCCACTTCCATTGCCTTTAAGTGAGCTGATCGGCATGGCTCCACGATCAAACTTATCGATCCATAGTGAAACACTTTGGCCTGCACAAAAATTTAAATATAATTCAATTTAAAACACTGAAAAAAATCCACCAAAGTAACTCCAAAGGAATTTGTTGAGAAATTTGTAAGACAAGCAAATTTCCAATAAGAACGAAACATAATACGGTTTGGTAGGTAGGCTAATCATTTGGTCCATATGCTACCAAACAAAGAAAAATCATGTGAGGCTAATGCAATTTCTCACCAAACAAACAACAATTTCATTGTGTATGTTATAGAAATAGAAAACGATTTACACATTCCTTCACTTCACTCTCCCTCCCATCTACCATATCTAACACGTATCAAACACCATCCCCGTGCATTTCTTTTAGGATAAATTAATAAGTTGATTACAGTTCAAGGAATTCATGTCACATGGACGATCATAAACCAATATATTTAAAAGAGTACGCCTTTTAAGATCGTCTGAATTAAAACCGTGCAAAGTGCAAATTAATTTTATAATAGTGAAATTTTCTGAAAACACTAGCAATTTGATTCAAACTAGAATTACCAATTCATTCTACTAGGAAGAAGGAACAAGGAATAAATACATGTAAAAAACCAAATTCCGGATCCACCCTTGATCAACAACTATTTTCCAAATTAGCCAATGAATGGGATTCCGTAATACAAAATAAAGGTGTAATCGAATCAAATCGAGTCAATGCAGTGAAAAATTCAAACTCAATTGAATTTTAATTTTTGAGTGCGAACTTGACTCAAAATCGCGTTACTTAAACTCACTCAATTACGCTCGTTTATCAGAAAAAAAAACTTGATTCTTATGCTCAACTTCAAACTCAAATATTTAAATTCGAACTCAAGCTCGAATCAACATATATACATAAAAAAATAATAATAATTTTTTAATTAAAATAATTAAATTATATTAAACTATAAAAATTCGATTAAATTCATAAATTAATCGAGTCGGGTATTATGATACTCAAACTCAGGTTACACAATAAGTTAAGATGCTCGAACTTAGCTTAACAATAATTAAGCTGAATTCAAATTTTATCCCAGTTGATCCAAATAGCTTCGGAGTTCTAGAGTAACATTTACACCCCCAAATACTAATACAAGACCTTAACTGCAAATTCATATTATTAATAATAAATAAACGATAAAAACTAAGCAAAGAAGGAAAAAAAGCGAAATTTAGATCTACGGGTATCCGTTTGGATTTCACGGGTAGTTGTTACCAAACCAAGCACGTGAACTGAACTCACGTGATAAATGGGTTTAGACCATCGTGGACGCAATCATGTAACGCCACGTGCCGTACAAAAAAAAAGTAACAGTTACTTATAAAAAAAGTCAAATTTACAACAAAACACTGCGAAATTACCCAACACTTTTTTAAGAGTGGGGCTCACATTGGATGTGAAGTTAGCACTTCACACGCCGAAGCTGTTAGTCAAACTAGAATCATTGTTATTCCAAAATTCAGATTAGATCCCAACATGGAAAAGAAAAAGCTTCAGAAAATTACACTGTTACGTTGGAACAAACTCACCGGCATGTGAGGATATCAGAGAAAAAATGACAAATGTCAGTGATTAGATACTTGGATACCATAAAGAACCCCGGATCTTATAATATTAGCCGGCTGACATATCAGCCTTTAAATAAAAAGCTACGCTCACGTTGTGGGACGTGACAATCACCTTATTTTCCTATAGTATTTTGATTAGAAAAATCGTAAATTTTTCTTTGTTTTTTTTTTTTTTAAGTCAACATTGAAGGAAGAACGAACCAAATTTGCACTAAAAAGAAAAATAAGTGAAGAAATTAATAGATTTGTTGAGTTCAAGGAAAAAGATGATAAGATTACTCACAGATCTGATAAGATCAAGATTCAATTCCTCCGGCTTCAACAGCATATCAGCACTGGGATTCCTATAAAACATGAACTCACGCTCTCCATCGGCGCGTAGAGTCACGAAGGCAAGAGCAGTCCTAGCGCCTTGGTCAAACAAGATCCCGTCGCAAGAGACTCCGTTTTGCTTGAGAATATCCGCGAGCATGCGACCGAACTCGTCGTCACCGAGTTTTCCGACAAAAGATGCTTTCCCGCCGAGTCTCGAGACCGCAATCGCCACGTTGGCTGGGGCTCCACCGGGAGCTTTGAGGAAGCCAGGAGCCTCTGCTAAAGAAACGCCGGAGACAGTAGGGACAAAGTCGATGAGCATCTCACCGAAGCTCACGATTACGCTCTTGTCTGAAACGACACCGTTTACAGCCATGGCTTGGAGGAGACGGACAAAAAAGAATTTTTAGTTCCAAAAGAGAGTAGGAGAAGAACGTATAAGAGGAGAGTCAGCAAGGCAGAGAGAGGGTGTTTAAATAGGAAAAATAATAAAGAAATTTCGCTTTTTTTCCTAATTTAATTAATTAATATTTAGTATTTTAATCAGATTTGGGAACTGTGTTGTTTTTGGATATTTTTGTGGCTGTGGGTCCACTTGCCGAGATTCAATAATATTTTTTCCATTTGGATTATTATACTCTAATTAAAATAAATAAATAAATAAATAAAATTCTTTTTTTAGGATTTTTTTATGGAAATTTTAATTAATTAATTAATTAAATCTTTTGATTTGGTAGGGTTAACCTACGGCTTCACGCAAAGTTTGAATAATGGACCCCCTTTAACAGGGAAGGTCACACTCAGAATTGGCTGGCTTTAAATTAATTCAATCCTAATTAATATCTACTACTAGTAAGAGTCCTTTTTTTTTTTTTCAATTTATTAATTTCAAAACCTTTTATTATCTCCCCTTTTGCCAAAAAAAAAAAAAGAGAATGTTTTATTAACCGGTTTTTTTTATATATTTTGCATAATCTTTATTCACTTTGGATCTACCCATATTTGTAATAATTAATGTGCATTGCACTTAAATTTTTATTTATTTAAAAAATAATTATGTATTATATAAATATTTATAATAGTTAAAAATGTTTAAAATTAATAAAACATATTTTAACATGTAAAGTTTGCTTTATATTAATTAACATAAAATTTATTAATTTTAAGGAATATTTGATTCGGATAATCATAAATTTTAAAATAAAATATTATTTTTAAAAAAATACAATACTAAGGGTTTTTTTTTATTTTCAAGATCTTTCGTGTTTAGATTCATTCGTTTGGTTAAACAAAGTTTATATATATATATATATATATTAATTTTTGAATAATTATCATAATCTTCTTAATATTAACAACTTTTTATTAGCTTTTATTAATAATAAATACTTAAAACAATACATTTACTAGTAAAAGAGAATAAATATTTTTATTATTGCTATTCTTTTTTATAAAATATCATCAATAAAAAAATACTAGAGATCATTTAATGCGTTTTTGGTTGAAAAACATTTTAAATAATTCTCTTTATTATTTTAAAAATGGATTATTTAATAATAACAATAATTATTTAAGGTTTTTCTTAACTAAAAAAGTCTTAAATAATTTTTAATAATTTTTTAAAAAATGAAAGAGAGGATTGAAGGCATTTTTTAACTAATAATGTCTCCAATAATGCACTTTAAAAAATTGTGTGTATTATTGAAAACATTTTTTATACAAAAATATCTTAAATAATGTCCTCATATTTTTTAAAATATATTATTTATAAACGTTTTTTGTAATGTTATTATTTGTCATAAGGTTAATATGAAATTAAAACTCTTTATATTATTAATAATATCTATATACTATACACTCAATTTTTATTTTTTATATTATTAATAATATCTATATATTTTTACAAATCTAATAATATTCATATTGCATATAATATATATATATATGTTTTTTAGTTTTAATATTGTTATTTTTTTATTATTTTTTTAATTCATGAAATTTCAATAGATTAAAGTTTTTTTTTTAATTATCTAAACAAAGTAATTATAAATGACAGCATTTTAAAATATTTTTATTTTTTTAATTTTTAAAATTTATCATCTAAACACACTCATAAATTCTTGATTTGAGTTCTAATGTATGCAGTGTTTAGTTTAATTTTATATTGATTTACATTAAAGTACATAATTTGTAACTATAATTTTTTGTATTTATGTATATAATTTTATTAAAAACAAGAAAAAAAAAAGAAAGAAAATCCTTTGAGCTTGGATTTTAAGAGTAGGGAAATTTCTACTCATAATAATGTCCAAACATTGTCTACTTATAACTGATTGTACCAATAATTTCTCTATGTTAATTGTTTGTCCAATAGCACAATAGTTATAGTTTCTTCCCAAGCCTTAGCAAATCTCTCATTCTTGAAACAATCACTAAACAAATTTTATGAATTAAAATAATTCAAACCTTGATTTTTAGCTTTTTGTACTATTTGAAAAAGGGATGAAACATTACTAAATTTGATAATATCTCATGACAAAATTGATCCCTCACCCAAAAAACAAACAATTGAAGTGATCCAATGGATGCCAATTAGGCCATTTAAAAAAAAAGTTGGCTTTATATTTAATTATTCATATACTTAAAAAGGATACAACCATTGTTTTTGAATTTGGCTTGAAGCTTTTTATGGGTTATACTCTTCCATTGTTTTTATTAGAAGTATAAACGATATATTAGCATTTATAAATTACTCAAATTTGATTCGAATAAAACTCGAATTCGATTTGATTATTATCAAGTTAGGTTTGAGCTTAAGTAATTTAACTTATCAGTTGAATAGATTTCGAATATTTTTATATCCGACTCGAGTAACTCATGAGTCTAATCTAATTTATATATTTTAATATATTTTAATTATTTTAATTAAAAAAATACAAAACTTGAGCTTGAGTTCGATAACAAATAATTAAATTTTTGTTAAATATAAGAATCGAGTTTACTTTTATATGTTATTCGAGTTTAATCTAACGAGATTAAATAATTCAATTTTTATCTCAAGTTGAACTTGAATTAAAAAAATAAAATTTGATAAAATTCAAACTTAATTTTAAACTTTAAAATTAAAGTCGATTTCAAACTCAAACTTAATATTATATTAATTCAAACTCATTTAATTACACCTCTAATTTTTATATAAACCTTTATAAGGGTTGGTATGTTATCAATTATTTTATTATCCCAAATTGTCAACTAGCCGCCTGTAACAACAACAATAAAAATGTTAATCGATGTCTAATAATATTGATTAAGGTAATATTTAAAGAAAAAATTTACAATTAATGCATTGTTTTCTTTTAAATTTAATAAAAACAGTATATTAAATGTAAATTTTTTAAAATTATAATTTAATTATATTTATAAATACCCGTTAATAAAAAATTTAATCATACCAACGCATCTAAAATAAAGAATTACAAAATTGAAAGATAATGGAATTTTAAAATGGTTTTTTTTTTAATGGATCGTAATTGTTTTTCCAATTTTGAGTGAAAAAAAAAAAAAGGTGAAGTAATCACATCACGTGACATGCGCGTCTTTTATTTTATGCGAATATAGTATTACTATATGAAATCTTGAAAACAACTTTATAATATCTAAAAAGTTTTATTATTTTTTTATTCTATTTTCAAAGTTTTAAAATTAAAAAATGAATTGAAACTCATGCCTTTGCTTAGGGTGATGTCGCAAGATCTCATGCATATAGCCAATTATTTGATAAAAAAAAAAAAATTAAAGGCTTGTGTTTTGATTATAGTCAAAGCAAAGTAATAAGAAATTAATAGTCCCATGCGTATCCACTTGTGGGTGAAATAAATATATAATTTTTTTATTATTTAAATAAAAATTAAAATAATAAAAAATTTATAATTAATCTTAAAATATATAAGAGATAAAAAAAAAAAAAAGATCACTACCGTGCAAATTCTTAAAATAGAGAAAAAAAAAAAGGTAAAAGTGGATTTAAGAAAATTCTTTCCATCGAATTTGACTCTAATTATATAGATGATATAAGGTTAAAATAAAAATTTTAAGGCAAAAGGGTTAAAAATTTATAAAATTAAAATTCAATAATCATGCAAATCTTTATTTTTTTTACAATTAATTAAATTCTCAAATATCTATTTTTATCAATTGAGTTCTTATCATATGAAAAAAATTATTATTTTTATCCAATTGAGGATTTATTTAAATGAAAATAATAAGGGTTCCATAAGATTTAATTGATTTAAAATAAAAAGATTTAGAATTTGATTAATTATAATAAAATATTAAAATTTTAAATGATTATTAAATTTTTTATTAAGAGCTTTTTTTACCCTTACACCAAATTTTAAATTCAAGTTTAATAATTTTTTATTTATAATATAAGAAAAATCCAATCCCTTATGTGTATTTTAGGCTTCTTGGCATTTTAATTGGTGAGACCTATAAAACAAATATGAAACACATTTTCAGGTGATGAAGGTTGAAACAATTTGTCAATTAAAAATATTTCAGCTTTGGCATATGGATAATTGAATAATTAAAGCTATGGTTAAGCTTAATAGATGTTGGGATTCCCTACCTTGCCTCCTTGCCTTTGAAGGGAAGGTATTAACTATACTGCTTATTTTATTTCTTAAATATATTTTTAAAATCATCGCGTGTGACATCTTACTTATATACCACATGATAAGATGATGTAATAAAATATGTCACGTGTTATGATGTTATAGGACAATAGTGAAATTATTTTCATAAGTTAATGGTGTTAAATTCAAATATCAAATTAGTAAATAAAATCATACTATAAATATTACATTATACATTTTAAAAATAAAACTAATAAATAAATGTTTCGAATTTAAATATTAAATATATAAAATAATATAATTATTAAGATATTGCAATATTCCACCTAGATATAACATATGTATCTTAATGATTAAATTCATGACTAAATTTATTCATTAATTACAACTAAAATCTTGAGATTAAACATTAACAATAGTGCTTAATTTTATATCGTAATAATTGATATCAGAGTTGATTTAAAATAAGTTGACATCGCTTTGTATGATATTTTGGTATTGTGGCTGTAAGCCATGATTATAATTGTAATGTATAACCTTAAATAATATTATAATATTACACTATTGAATTAAAACTCACACGCAATGATCAATGAAAATTTAATTTAGTAATAAAAAAGTTTTTTAATTTTAAATTTAAGTTTTATCCTCTAATAATTAAATGAATCTATGACAACTAAAAATTCTTTGACAAATAATGCTTGTTATCTTCGCCGGTGATGAGGGAAACAATGAGAGAAAACAATGAATTTTTTTAAGTGATTTTCGGTTTATAATTATCATTTTTTATAAAAGAATCATAACTCGAGATAAGAGAAGATACTA